CACAGCCAGCTCCCCAGTCTCCTACAGGGAATACACCATCCCTGACGTTGATGTTTTGTTGGGGCCACTTGCAATCAAGCTGTCATGTCTTGACAGCTCTGCAGGTGGAAGAAAAGGACCCATCAGACTGAAGATGATTTGTGAACAGTGAAGAAGGAGCATTTGCCACCCTGCCATGTCTGACAATGTGAAAAACCAAGGCCACATTACCTGAGGCTGTCACACAGAGAGCTGTCCTTTCAAGTGTCAGCTGCATCCTTATTCAAAAGTGCAAGAAACTGTGTTTTTAAGAGCTGAATTTGACTGCTTGTGAACTCTAAGGGTTTTGCTGGCTCCTCAGAAAATTCAGTAGAACAACACCCTTCACATCAGGATCCTGCCTTCACAAAAGGGACAGTAAAACCACAGCAAAACCTGCAAATTCAAAACGCTTATTTTAGAAAGAAATTATTCTAATTTATGCTCTCAGTGTTTTCAATGATTTTGACGTCTTAAGCATTAAATCAGAGGCTGAATACTGTAATTTTTCCTATTTTTCCAGTAAGAACTTGGTTGCTGATTAAAGTCTTTGGCAGGGAGTAGGCAAAAATTAATGCATTAACAACCTAACAATGAAATCAAAGTGATTTTAGTGTAGCATTATCTAAAAGAAATTATTTTTTGTTAGTACTGTGTAATGTTCTTTTAACAGATGACAATGATTTATTTCTACTTCGATGAATGATTAAACTAATCAGTGAATTGCTGGAGAGATGCTTTGTTAAATTAGTCCCATATTCAATTGGGAGTCTTTAAACTATTGCTCTGTGTGCTTATTTGTCATTGAATTCGCAGGGGGATGTACAGATTCTTCTTTTGTTTATATGAATATGAAATAGAACATCTTCTTTGATTATCAATGGAATTTCATTGTTTTAAACCAGGGAAAATGAGACAGTGGGGCCTTTCTATCTTTGTTTTTGTTTGGAGATGCCTTTAAAAAACCACTTTATGCAATCCTTTTAAAATTACTTGACTTACTTTTAAAGGGAATTTACTCTGCTTATTTCCAATATGCAAGGTGCTTTTAATTAAGAGTATTTGCAAATTCTGTGGTAATGATTTGTTAAAAATCAGGAAGAGTTGGTGATTTATTTGTACATTTTCTCTATTACACTGGATGAACCAATGCTGCACTGTTTTTATTAGTCCCCCCACAAGACTCCAGCCATTCATGAAAATTCTATGAATGAAGAAAATAATGAATGTGTTGACAATGAAAATAAGAGTTTCAGGAAGCTAATATTAGTGGAAATGCTTTTGTAACAACTTTACTGTCCAAAGCCAGCATTCATTAGGCCAGCTTACAGTTCTAAGGAGAAAAACAACTGAGTTTTCTTGAGCATTTAGCATAAATGACAGCTGGGTCCCTACAATGTGAGAACTTTCACGCTGTCAATATGAACTGACAATTTGCCTAGCAAAGAGTTATGCTGTGGGAGGTTAAGAAGAAAAGCATGAGAAGGTTTTTGTGAGTCCTGTAAAACAGATTTTGCTGGTAATAGAAATCTAGAAGCCAACTTGGGTTTACTATATAGTATTATCTCCTTAAAACTGAAAATTGGCTCTTGTTGAAATTACAATGTCCAATTCTATTTTACAAAAAAAAAACACAAACAACAAACCAAAGTAAACCCAGTTTAATTCCGGAAGAAGTTATACCATTATTATAACCTTTGACCCCAACAACATTAAAAAAATCTGAAGACAGATCACCCACACCTACACCATGAAGACAATGTGAGATCAGTTGGTATGAGTTCATCTTTGATGTTATTTACCCTTACAGGAAAAAAAATAACTCCATGTTTTGATAATTAATTAAGTATAAATGCAGGTTTCTCCCAGGTCATCCTAAGCAATTGCTTGCTCTTCATTAAGTTCAAAGCAGCTGAAATGCCACCAAGCAGCAGGGACACTTAATCCTTTGGCTTTACAACCCCCCACACCCCATCACTGGACTGTGTATTTTGCTTTATGTGTATGGAAAGTTTATAAGTGTGATCTTCAGCAAAGTGGATCTGTTGAACATTTTAAGCTAAATGGTGGTGTGTAGACTCGGTCTGATGTCTGTGCCATGTCCTGAATTTTCAGTACTTTACTAGGTGAGGCAAAAGTGTCTGAGAGCTCCTGTGGGTATCGTGGCTTTTCACAGAGAACTGTATTCAGCCTGTTTTTTCTCCTGTGTCCAGAGAGCGAGTAGATTTCTCCACAAGTTAGGCAGAGGGACAACCAGCATGGTGATTTTATCTGTCCCTTCTACTTTCCTCTGGCTCCTTCACACCACCTTCTCAGCCCTTATCTTGTTCTTTTGCTTTTTAGACTCTCTGAAGTGATATCTAATCCCTCAAGATTTGATCCAAACTTGGCAGTTATTTTGTTGTTAATCAGTAGCTATAGCTAGGCAGGTGTGATTAAGCATTGTGAAACTCAGAGGCTTGGTTAATCCTTTGTTTTAAAGAAAAGGGAACACAATCCCAAGATGAATGAGCTGTTTAGAAAAGAACCACTGAGAGTGAAGTCAGCAGGACTGAGCAGTAAATGGGGGAAAGGTAATTCTGGCAGTGGGGGACTGCAACCACCTATCCATTGACCACCTTATAAAAATGGAGAGAAGAACTGTACATGCAGACTAATTAGCATGAGAAGCAAGAGATATAGTTAGCAAATAAGGATTGGTAGATTTGAGTACTAACTAATGAAAAGGATATGTAGTTTGTAACCAATGAATGTTGATACCTTTGTTTGTTAAAATGTATAAATTGTGTGAAGTTTTGATGATTGGTGTTTTCTGGGTTACCACCCAGCTCCCTACTTGGCACAAACTGGAGTAAAAAATAGAAATACCTCTCCTTGGTGTGTGAATTGGCCATGCACACCAGGTAAGAAGCCAATGTTCAGGATAACAGAAGGACAAGGGTTTTAAAGCTTTACATGCTTTTGGAAACCAAAGCATTTATGCAAGTGACAACTGATATTATCATTTTTGAGCATAACAGGATATAAACCTCACTTGAAGGACAACAAGTCATCTCAAGCAATATCAAAGGTTCTTTCCAACTCAAAGAATTTAGTAACTCCTAAGTGTTTATTTTGTTGATCTAAAGCCACACAACATGTGCTACAGGCACAGAATTTATGTGACAGTGTTCACTACTCTTAAAAGCAAGAGTTAAATGGCTGCTGCCTTTGTCTGTGGTTTGTCACAGCCTTGCCTTTGTATAACTACCTGTCTTGGAAGGAGCTTTGATATATCTTGAATGAGAAAGAAACTGTTATTTATAAAATATATCTCTTCTACATTTCCTTTAATTGCCACCCCTACATCCTTCCTTTACTGAGTATATGAGCTCTCATTTGGTCAGGGTCACCTCAGAGATGAATCTCAAGTCCTTTGAATCTGAAGACATCCTCCTAGTTCAATAACTGTAAATTAAAAAATGTTCTTGAGAAGGCAGATGCAGGACAAGAGTGCAGCTGCACACTTAGTACTGCTCCACTGTGCTGTCAGTGGGTTCCTAACTGTGGCTGAGCCTCAGGACACTAAAATTTATTTTTCTGCTTTAGCATATCTTAATCCACAGTTAGGATAACAAACATGTTTTAATGTTTTTTGTTAGAAAGCAGGTTGTGACCTTATACTAGCTGAACAGAGTCTTAATTTGCTGAGAAAAGAAGACAAAGCAAATAAATATAAGGAAGTAAAGAAATGAGACAGCAGGAATGAGTTCTAACAAGTGCAGAGTTTGTGCCGTAACACTGGGTCTGTTTTCTGGACCACATACTGTGTTGCCATGCCTGGTGAATACATGATGTAAAGTCAGACGTTGCTCTGTACGTGTAAGTGAGGCCAAGTGCTGCTGCCATTCTGCCTCATCCTTCCAGAGAGTTCTGCGGTGCTGCATCCTGTCGCCGTGGCATCTGCATTCTCAGAGGCCTGTGCAGTACCTTCTGTCTCTGCTGCAAAGTCAGCTTTTGACAGGTTTGACAAATAAAAAACCCTGCACTGTTGTTTGCATGAGGAGAATATTAACTCTTGCATTGTAGACAAATCCCATTCTGTATCAAAATCACACTGCTTTAAATTCACCTGTCTCTTCACCACTTTTTTTTTTTTTTTATATGCTGTGCTGCACTGATGCCCTGTGTGCTGCTTAAGTGATTGTCTCAGCCTCACTAAAGGTGAATGACCTGGGGTTTACAGGAAGATGTCCCACTCATAGTTTAGCGATCCTCTGGAATGAAGACTGTGCAGATCTAATTTATTACTGTGTTTGATGCACAGGAGAGCAGGACAATTTGACCTTGCAATTTTATGCCCTGCTAAGCGACTACAAGAGCTTCTTAGCTGAAATTGTCCCTTTCTAATTTTAATTTATTCTGTGTCTGGGCAGCTGACAGTTTAAGGAGCTGCTGTCAGGCTACAAATATCTTTGCCTAAGGCTTTGGACTGACCCATCCCAGTGACACAACCATGGAGAGAGCCAGGGTGACTCCAGATTCTCAGTGTGTTTCTGTCATCACCTTGTTCCCTGTTCTTTTCTTCCTTTCTTCCCCAGAGGTATCTATTGTATATCAGCTCAGGAAGGTCACTTGCATGGATTCTTTTTTTCTTTTTATTTTTTTCTGGTTGTCATATTTCCCCTGTGTCCTTGCAGCTTGCCTAGTAGGCTCATGGTCAATATCTGCATCAGGACTTCAGGCAGTTTTGGTTTTGCAGAAATATCTTTTATCTTCTGTATCACATTTGTTGCATTCTGGTTTGGGGAGTGGGGATAAGACCTGTCCTACATCTACTTATCAGCTAATTTCTGCCCTTTTATTTTTTTTCCTTAGCTCCTAATTATCCTTTTTCTTTCGTCACTTTGAGCCCTGCCAGCTCCCCGGGTTCTCCAGGAGTGGCTGCTACAAAGATGTGTGTGTTCTCCTCTGTAAAACCGGCCCTTGTTTTGTGTTGCTAGGCTACTCCCTTCCAGCTGCCATTGAAGAAATGCTCCGTGGTGGGAAACGGTGGGATCCTGAAAAAGAGCGGCTGCGGCAAACAAATAGATCAAGCAGATTTTGTCATGCGGTAAGACAGAAACCTCAATGCCACATTGTCCCTCCTTCCCCCTGCTAAGTCTCAGAGTTTTCAAAGCTATTCAGTTGCCATTAATCAAGTACAATTTGCCTTGTTGCCTTGCCTTTGCGGGATGCTTTGTACAGGCAACTTGGGTAAAAGTGTGAGGAGAGGCAGAAAAAAGAGTTGTGGCTGGCTTCTGCAAATGGTTGTGTGTGGTGTGGGGACAATCTGCCAGTGGTTAAGGTTGTGACAGATGGTGCAGTGTCTCAGGAAGGTACTGAGGAGCTGCTTTTCTCATTATTTTTGTAATGATAGGCAGGGTCTCATCCTGAGGAATGTCCTCTGAAACTCTAAATGCCATCTCTGCAACCCCTTGAACTCAAGATGAGTAGGTGCTGATTATGAGGCAAGATTTAAGATTTAAGTTGGTACAAGCTGAAATCTTCCTGTGTTTTTCTTCCCTCTGGCTGGCTGTCTGAGGAAAGGCCAGACCTCTTTCCTTGATGCAGAGTTTTTGGGATTCCTCACATTTCCTTCCCTTTCAGCCTTCCTGAAGTTGTAAGAACCTGTCAGGAGGGATGTTGAACCAGCTACTGCTTTCGTGATTGAATTTGACACTTTCTCGGTCTGCAATCTTTAAGGAAGAAAGACAGAAATTAGTTCCTCCCTGTTAAACATGAACAAGAGAAACACTGTGAAGGAGAAACCGGAGGAATGCTCCCAAAGAGACGAGAAATGGAGTTTTTTTGGGTTTTGACATGAGTGCATAATGAACACCCACTTTAGCAAGTCTCCTTATTAGATCCTGATGGCTTATTTGTAAAGCTGTACAAATTTGCTGCAAACCAAACAGTATTACTGTAATTTCTAGTTTGCATCTCAAAGACCAAAAATGCCTTCTATGTTAAAGAAATAAAACAAAATAAAGGCAAAAGGAAACATAGAGCAGAAGATGCAAGGCACAGGGGAGAAAGGCAGCACACTGATTGCCATTACTGCAAAGCTCCCTAGGTGTTCCACAGACTAAATATAAGAAACTGCAGGGTGTATACCATGGTAATATTACCTAGATGCAATGGAAAACTGAAATGCTGTAGGAGCAATCAGTTGCAAAAACAATAGAAATTAAAAAAAAACACAAACAAACCAGCAGTTATTGTAGCTGGATGAGGAAAAAAAAACTTTTCTCTCCAGGGAGGGTAAAGCAACCACTATCTGGGCAAAACTTGTTTCAAATTGGAAATAAATGATAGGGAGTTTTCTGCAAAAATCTACAGGCTATATTGTGTTACTGATGTGCAGTCATATTTGTGTGTCAATTCTTTTGGATTAGAAACTAATACACCCCTGGGAGAAAATATTTTTACAGCAGGGGAAAGACAGGATTTGGTTGATCTTTTATAAATCTGATTTCTGTAATCGCAGAGCTGAGAGAGAAAGAGCACAGTGGTAACCTGCATAACATTTTTCATTTTTTGAAAAGAAATTTGTGTAATATCTTCAAAGTATTTCTTCAGTGCAAAATGTCATGCCAGGTTTTGTCCTTGTTCTTTTGTTCCACCCACATGGGTTTTGATTTCACTTATGTGTATTTGCCATCTTCTCTCATATGTTGTAATCACTAAGGTTATTTAATGAGTTTAAACTCATTGCTGAGCATCTTCTACAAACACAGTTTTTCCAACACAGAGATGAAAAGAGCAGCAGTTTTCAGCCCCTAAGGCGTAGCATGCTGCATCTGCAATGAAAAAGGTGCGTGGCATATGGTTTACATATTTCATAGTGTGGTTATTAGTGTGGTTATCTTCTGATATCTGGCTGTTTTTCAAGTTTGTAATCCTTACTTCTAAGAAAAAAATTTGGTTTTACACCTCCTGCTAATGCTTATTTTATGAGAGAAATGTTGGGTACTCACCCAAAGCCATGTTTTTGTCTCTGTTTTGATGATGTTTCCTTCTTTCCTGCATGTTCACATACTCACTCCTCAGTACCAGATGTAACAGTAAGAGAATTAGAAAGAAGTTTCTTAGGATGAATATTTTATTTCTTGATGTGCTCCTCACCAGCACAACACTTGGCACTCTGCTGGCATATTAAAGAAAATAATTAGAAAGGCCAAGAAGTTTCTGTTAACCAACTGATTTCTTACAGCTTTCTCTGGGTACTCAGGGCTTTTCTTAATGTTTAATGCACAAAAAAGTGGGAATGAGACTTACTGATGAAAAGGATTAGATGTGTTTAAACAATGCATCTGGGACTGCCTTATGAAAGAATTTTCATTATTGATGAAAATCGATGCTGAGATGATAAAAAGCAGGGTGAGATCTTAGTCCTTCATAGTGCTTTTGAATAAACTTTAATCAAAAGCAGTTTCTTACAAGCTTGCCCTATGAGTTAGTGTTTATGCAAATTGGAGAGCATTAAACTGTAATCTGGCAGAGGCATTTATGCCATCTTGCTGCCCTGAGGCAAATCACCTATATATATGTTTCTTCACAAATATTTGTTTGACTTGCCATTGAAAACTGCTGCTGAGAGAGTTTGTACAATCTCTCCAAATAGTATTGATCTGATTAATTTGTATCCTACCCAGTGCTGGGGCAGGAAGCAACCTATTGCCAGATTTGATTTGATTTGATTTTTTTTTTATTTTATTTTACTTTACTTAGTTTCTATATTACTTTATTTTATGTAAATATTTTTCGATTCTTAAGATTTTCATTCTTTGTGTATGAGAATTAAGCTTCCATTATGCTTCTATTTTTTTCTTTGAGTTCCTGAAACCTCTTATTTTGGTTCCTCTTTTCTGGCTTCTTTTGAAGTTGTCTAGCTTCTCTTAAATTGTGGTAGACCAAACTAGAAGCTGTTTTGTAACTGTAATTGTGCACATTTTGACAAATATAGTTGTGAAAAGGAGAAAATGTTCCTGGAAAATTTATGTTTCTTGGTGAATGTGGTTGAATTCATCTATGTTCCACGTAGGCCAGACATCACTGTCCTTCTTGGTGTTTCCTGATGATGTGAAATGAAGCATACGATTTTGAGAGCTGGCATTTGCATGCAAATACATGCAGATATAGCATTAGTGTGGGGTTTTTCTTACGGAATGTGGGGTATTTTGCATTAGCCAGAATTGCAGAGTGTGCTGTGTGGGCACCGGTGCCCTCTGCGGGCACTGACACCGCACAAAGCCGTAACACGTGGAGGTGCAGCCGGGAATTCATGCAGCCTCATTCTGCTGTCACAAGCACCTGGATCCCTTCTCCAGGCACTGCAGAGGTCAGTGAAAATGCACAGAGGCAGTGACTGCTGTGGAAGCAAGGGCTTTCCTTGTGCTGAGACTGATTTTTCCCAACGTGGCAGATGCGAACAGCAACCCGTAATAAATAAAACAGCCCAACAGTTTCTGCAGTAGCCCCTGGAAACTGCTATAAAAACTGAGCCATAGCTCACTTCCCCAGCTCCTGCCTCTCACTAATGTTGGAAAGAGGCCTCTGAATTGTTAAGATTAAAAAGAAAAAAATCAGATCAGCAACTTGTTGTTGGACTCAGGGGTTTCATTACTGACACGGACTGTCTGGAGGATGCATGCAGAAATTGGAGTACTACAAAGAGGTTAATGCAAAAGATGGTGAGAAAAATGATGTGGCTCTTCAAGGTGTAAAGAATGCATCAAAGGAACCCATGTCTCTCTGGTACTGAGAGAAGTCATGAATGTGGAACAGTTCCTCTCTGAGTCACTGCCTGCCCTCTTCCAAAGCTGGGGTCTCACCCTGTGTGGGGGTGACTGTCTGCAGAGCTTAAAGCAACCAGGGGCTGCTTGAGCCCCTTCTTTAGGGTCAGTGTTTGCTCAGCACATGCTCTCAGTGGGGCAGGAAGAGACAGGAGCTGGCCCCCAAGCATGCCCCTTGTCTTCCTGTACCTCACGTGCTCCCTCTCCGTGCTGCACTTTCCCAGCCTGCTGCAGAAAAACAATTAAACCAGCGTGTGCAAATGGAGATGTCTTGATTCAGTGGTTGAACTTCAAAATTGGAAGTCAAATTTGGTTATGGTAGAGTTCAAAACTGGTTTTTGTTTTTCTTTTTCTTTAGAAATCCCCAGCGAAACCCCAAAACCCAACAACATAAACAACTAAAAGTGTTTCTCTGGGAAAAATTCCAAATTCCACTTGATTTTTTTTTCTCTGTGTTTTCTTGGTAAATTCTGTACACTGAAGGTACCCCATAGTGAAATATTTAAAATGACAGTTTTGCTTGTAATACCACAGAGTGGTAGGAGTCTGAAGCCTGATACTAGTAGATGAGGCAGACCAGAGTGCAAAGCAGAACTTTTTAAAAGAGTTTGGATAAAAAATTTCAAGAGATAATAACAGCCTCTTCCACAGCCTTTCAGCCTGTCAGAAATGCCAAATGTGTGCCTTTGTTTTTGCTTAGCAGATAGATAGATATCATCTCTGCAAAAGGTTTTATTACTGTATTTCCCCACAGTCTGGTACAAAAGTGTCCTATTGTGTTTGTAGGTCTGGTGCAGTAGGGAATATTTGGTCTGGTATTTATACATCACTTTTACATTTTCTGAAACTTGTCAATCGTGAATGTCATTTAAAATCTTGATTGTCTTTTTGTGCACAGGTGCAACCTTCCTCCTCTATCCAGTGAATACAGCAAGGACGTTGGATCAAAAACCCAGCTGGTGACTGCAAATCCAAGTATAATTCAGAAAAGGTAGACAGCATATTGTTCCTTTTCTGGTCGGGGGGAAACAAAAAGAAAAATGCTTCATCTGTGTTATAGATATTAGTGCATCAGAGTTGTGTTCTTAATGATGGTCTGATCCTGGAAGGGGATTTAAAAAAGGTGAAATAGGCAATGGTTTGGTGCTAGGTGAAATAATTAAAGACTAAAACCCCGATCCTTTCACTATAAGCAGGGAAACTAAGGAAGGTTGGCTTTTATAGAGTTATTTCATTTACCAGGCTTCCCTCTGTGCTTCCAGCTCCTTCCCTTTTCCATGTGCTGGGCACGTACCTGAGGTGCCTTGGCTACTCCCAAGCCAGGCACCTACTGATGGGTGTCCCAAGCTACTCTGCTGGTCAGGCCAGCTGGCTGATGCATCCCACAGTTACTGAAGATGCTAATTTGGGTTTCTCTTTGCTTCAACACCAGTAACCTCTGGGTCTTCACTGTTTTCATATTCTTTGTTTGATAATAACTTACAGAGTACAAAAGGTTAGGATGGAACTCCTTGACAGGTTGTGATCATACAAGCTTTGCTTTCTTAGGAAACTGGGACAGATTTTTGTTGTTTATTACAGTTGGTTGAAATTTTCCAAATGTCAGTAGCTGATGAGAGAGAGGGAAAAAAATAAAAGTCAATGCCATCTCTCTGATTTTGCCTTCCTGAATTTTAATTGCTATATTTTTTGTTTATCCCCCGGAATGAGGTAGACTGTTCTCCGGCAGAAAAAGATCTGGTAGTAACCTGCCATGTTCACTGAAGAACACAAGAGAAAAGGCATAAACCAAGGGGATGAACAGGAAATGATTAGGCATAAAGAAATGTATAATGGGAGCACTGCGAGGTGAAGGATTGTGAAAGGAAGCAAAGCAGGGAAATAAAATACATAATAGAAAAGCCAGGTGTTTTAGAAAGAAGAAAGGCACTGGTTTGGAAATTGATGTTTGATGGCACTTAAATGTAGTATTTTTCCTCTCTAGCAGAATTGAAGGGTTCTCTAGTTTTGTGTGTGGAAAAGATGTCAGTCTTTGACAAAGTAGAAAAGAGAGGGTGAGCAAGAGGGAAATGGAGTAGTAATCATCTTCAAGAGCTGATTCCAGGCAGAGAGTGCCTGAATAGGGAAAGGTACAGAAGTGCTTGTGGGATGAGATCAAAGCAAACCAAGCAAAATTGTCAGGGGATGGCACCGGGTGCCAGGCAAGAAGAGGGGCAGTGGATGTGAAGACAGGGAATCTGAAAATCCTGTGGGATGTAGATGGTGGATGAGGTTCTTTTAGGAAGTGGAATGAAATGGCCAGAATATCCCATCAAGGAAAGGAGATCAGTTTGACCGTGGCATTTTGGAGGAAATGAAGAGGAGCAGTATGAAACATAAAGCTTGCAAAAGATTTTGCAGTTTTCAAGGCAGAGGATTATTTAACTCAGGGGTATTTGTTTTGTACCCTCCCCTCCTTCAAGGCCTAGAGTAGAAAGCTCGCTGTACTTAGTATTTTTGAACAGAAAAGGGAAAGTGTTTTAGTGATGCTACAAGGAGAATGTGGAACTACACTAGAGAGACCGTAGAGTTATCCAGCAAGAGAGAAAGGAAGGAGTGAGCAGATGGTTGAAGAACCAGATGGAGAGAGCGAGGTGCTACTTTGTGAGAGGTGGGTATCACAAGGAGTGGCGGGGGGGATGGGGTTGAGAAATGGGGAAAAAAGAAAGGGAGGAAGGAAACAGGATTGTGATCAATGTAGTTTTCAAAGTGAGTGAACAATAACTGCAATGCAAGACCTTTGATGGGAAAGTAATGTGGAGTGCATAGGCATGTGTATTGATTAGGAGGAAATCTACAACCAGGAACTGAGAATGACGCAGGGAACAAATTTATAGTGCTGAAAATTGGCAGAAACCTCCTCTGAGGCTTGAAGCTCTTGAGAGATTTGACACTTTGCTTCCTCTACCTGGTTCAGAAGGGATTTTTTTTTTTTTTTTTTTAATAATAGTTGACTGATGTTTCCAGTGTGCTCTCCAAACTCATTATTTTACCTCCTGTGTGTTAAGATAGAGTGGAGGGGAAAAAAATGTTACGTTTTGGGAGTTAAAATAGAAACAAAGACTACCATTCTGTCATCAATTTCTATGAAAAGAAGTTTTTTAAGGAATTAAGACTGTTTTTAGGTCCAGACTTGCATGAAATTTAAAGACGTTCAACTTGGTGGCTGATATGTGTCTAAGCTGTAAATTAACTAGAGTCACATAATGGTATCATTCATTATCATTCTTCTCCTCTCCTCTTGTTCTTACTTGAAGTAGGTTGATATTGATGAGGCTTGACATCTCAATTATCTCTCAAGTGTGTTATGGCAGGTTTAGTGAATTGGTCCGGCAACACCATTCATGGCTTCTAAAAGATTTATCCTTGCCAGATAGTTTATGATGAGGCATGTTGCATAGGGAAAAGTTTTCATGCCAGGGATGTAGAGACAATTTCCTGTCTGGTTCTAAAATCAGAATTAGTGCCTTTAGAAAATCAAATTGTTGGCAGTAATTTTTGCAGAGATGCCACCATTTCCCTCCAGACTTAGAGCCTAAGTATGGGAGAGTCAAGATTTTAATCTGGGAGTACATTGACTGGAGATACCTTCTAAACATTGCCTTTTGCAAAACTTAGAGGTCAAGTTCCTACTCTGTTTTCAGCAGGAAGTGTAACTGTGCAGGTAGTACAGTTTTCACTTGTGAAATGTTTTTCACAGTCCTTATTTGGGTTTGAAAAATGATGGGGAATTTCCTACCCTAACTTCACTTAGTATAATACAGGAGAACTGACAATAGATGTATTATGGTAGAAATTTTCCCATCTGACTAAGAGGACGTGTGATGACTGTCCCAGTTTCTCTTTTTGTCTAAAATATTTCACAGGCATCTCCCTTCAATTAATATTGGAACTCGCAGTCCTTCAAGCCCGTGGAAAACCGTTTTTTCCACTTTGTATTCAAAACTTACTTTTCTGTCAAACCTTGGCTTGAGGTGGCATTTGGGATTGAAATGTTGCATAAAGCTACTCCTGGGGCCAATGTGACCTCTCCCTCCCTCTATCCCCCAGTATTGTTGTGGGACTGCAAAAAGGTTGGCATCGTTGATGTTTCCAGTTCATTCCCCTACTATCCTAGTCAGCTTGGCCTTATCTGCAGGGAACAACTTTGTAGGCAGAAGGTTATTCTATGTTTGTCCTGGGTTTTATTTTCTTTCCATGAGTAGCTGCTTTAAGTCCCTGCCAGGAAAGAGGCAGTGCAGTAGCGAGACCTGTGATGTGCCTGCAGCTGTTCTTAGACTCTGGGAAAAAATCAACGAGGTTATGTCACTTAGAGCAATTGTTTCTATGTTCTGAACACTTTTCTACAGCTGTGAAGAGGGACTAGTCAGCAGGTAGCATGTGAAGGTAAAAATGCTTTGTAGGTAGTGATGATATTCGACCACTGGCATGAGATTTTTAACTAAGAAATACAAAGAGGTACTATTTGGGATGTGGATTATTATATGTTTCTAAAGTCACTGGATCTGGGCTGTTTAGGAGAAGCAAATTCTATGAATTTGCTATTGTCTTCAACAACTCTTGCAAATGTCATACAATTATACTCTTTTGTCTAAACTTTTAATTAAATCTGCAAACAAATGCTGTTTGCAGCAATATTCCTTTCTAGTTGTCACATCTGCTTACTCTGTCTAATCCAGGCACACTTATATCATCAGCAATAGTCCGAATAGATTGTTTCCCAGCATTCAGTGAGTTTCAGATCAACTGATGTTTGTCAGTGAGTATTTTATCCACAAGCTGTGAGAGTTTTTCTGGCCTGTGTAGAAATAATCCTGTTAGAAAATGGCACGGTGACTCGCAGCATTCTTTATTCACCATAGTCCAGCATTGGTGTAACCGACAGAAGCCCTCGAGGTATTAGCACACACCTCCCTGCACCGTTTTTGAAACGTAATCCCTCAAAGCAGGAGCTTTGTGCCTGCAGAGCTGAGCTCTGAGGCAGAGCTCTGCCACTCCTGTTTCATGTCCTCTCCCCTCATCAATAAATCCACTGATGAGGACCAGTCATTCCTGTGTGTGTCTAGGGCTTTGGAGGTTACCCTAGTTAGATTAATTGTGAAGATTTCTGTGAAATACCTCTGCCAGAGACAGGGTGAACGTGTAGGTGAATCCATATTTCTGCTACTACAGTGATTCGACCGGAGTGTGCCTTGTTGCTTTGAATATAGAAATAAGTGAAGGGTTAGTTGAAGTGATATCCATCTTCATTCTTTGAAATGTGTATGTTTTTATTTAGGTCTTTACAGTGAAGTCTCTCAGCAGTTGTGTAACATCACCAATGGAAATAGTCTGACTGAAACTGGGATGACCAGATTTAGGATCCGCCGTTACACTCTTCAGCTCAATATGAACTTCCATCACCGAATGTGAACATTTTTCTTTCAGTAAATTAATTCCCTTTTTTGATCTCTGTGATATTTGACAAGTTTTTTTCTGCATCCAGTTTCTTGCACTAAAGCATGATGAAGGAATGAGACTAAAGGCTAACAAATGCAATGATTCTGCCTCTGAGCTTTGAAATGTCAGTTAAATATCGCTGCTGTTTATTAGGTTCCCATGGATTTTGAGTGGGATTAAATTTGCTTTCCGGTGTTCCCTGCATCTTAGAGACAACTAATAATCTTTCCTGGATTCACTCCTCAAGACATCTTCGAATCCTACTGACTTACACCGTTATGAATAAAAAGATGGAACTGAGGCAATAATTTAATTTAATAAAAGCTTCCTTCATCTCTGATTAAACAATTGTACAATATTATGCCTCTTGCTGACACTCATGAAAAAGAGAATTCCTCTTGACTGTGTCTCCATGTAAAAACTATATATTCTGTTCCTAGGTAGTTACATTATAATTTAGTAATTGCTAAAGATAGAAAAATAAAGACAGAAAACTACTCATAAAACATGTTA